GTAATTCAATCTAGTGTAACTCTAAATCAATGGCATAACACTGTTGATTCGTCCGGAGTCATTCCCGCATCTGAATTTGTGCAAGGCCGGGTAGAAAGAGGCCAGCCTACGGTTAGCGTTTGGTGCAGTAGCAATACGTAGGGGTGATCGACACTCCGAGAAGGGTGTTGAGGTTTTATCATTCGTTCGATGGATTTATTACGTTTCTCTATCACTTCCCATCTCCGTCATGAATCCTACCATATAGTAGCTTCAACTACGCAACACTCCGAGGGCTCAATGGCTCACATATCTCCTCTGACAGGCTCGTGTTCAGTTTAATAGTCGCTCGGGTTGGAGAAGTTCTTCAGGAAATTGTATACTCAACTCGCGTATCTTATGGCAGGCTGCTGTACAGCTACATCAAAGCTTCTGAACTACTTCGTGATGGTCGTACTCTTTCTTGTTGGCGCCCTCGTCATCGTGGTTGCGTCACTCGTACTGGCATCCGATTTCCGCACACTAGTTCGTAACTGGTGGTTGTGGGTCGCTGTTGCTGCCGGTATAGTCATCATTATTGTCTCTTGCTTGGGCTGCGGTGCCACTAGAAAGCAGAATCGCTTCTTCTTGACCCTCTTCCTCATCGTAGCGGGGATCGTATTCGCTTTGCTCTGTGTAGCAGCGATAGCCTCCTCGATCTACATCGGTGATGTCAACGCCATCGCGAGGATGAACTTTGCTGAGCTCAACGAGGTCTCGGGTTCTGAAAAACAGTCATATGATTTCATACGAGAATCCTATGGTGATATTTACGACGATAACGAGTGTAGTGGTGGACAATGTCAGTTCCCAGCTGGGCAGGTCATCGCTTGCTCAAGAATCACTTGTAGAAGTTCCTCTAGTCTCGCGGACACTCTCAATGATTGGCTGAGGGAAGGTGTGAAGAATGGAGGCATCACTCCTGCCGCCTTCTCGACATGCGTCTCTCTAGCAACTGGTGACTCATCTTTCCGCGGTGGCAGTTCTGGAGCAAGCGCATGGTGTGGCAGTAGCACCCGTGTGCTCGATGTCGTAGATGGTTGGAGTTTGGGAATCCTCATTGGTCTTTGGGTCATCACTGCATTCGTCTTCCTCATATGCATCGGTAACTGCGTTTTGATATGCGGAAAGAAGAACCGATCTCAGCAAGGAGTGGTAGTTGCCAAACCAGTGCAAAGCACCGCAGGCCAGGTCTACTATACTCAACCAGGGTATGGTGAACAAACTGTAACGAAGGTTTAGATCGACAGCTCATGCCTCAGTCGATGGCCTCTTCCGGGTGTCTCATAGAGACCAGCACATTCACAGTGTTGAAAGTGCTTTCAATTTCCTCTCATTATTTGTAGAATTATTAAATATTATGGAAGCATAGTGGTGTTAGATCTTCATTGGTGAACAGCTTCA